AGTGATATTAGAAAAACACAGAAACACACATTATTTTCCTGTGAGGAAAGAAGGAAAAAAGGAAAGGAGGAAAGAAATTATTTATTGGATTTGGTTAATTAGTAAAAATATTCTTTGAAAGAACAGTTCCTTCTTGTTAATTTTATCCCATTTTATAAGATATGGCTTGTTCTTGGATTCCTAGGTAGAGAGGAATTTTAAGGAATTATATGTCTATATCTCTTCTCTATGGTTCTCTCTGTCTCTGTTTCTGTCTCTGTCTCTGTCTCTGTCTCTATCTCTCTCATTTATGTAATTATATGTATGTTGGATGAATAAACTTGTACCCCCTGTTCTGAATATTGTGACCCTTTACTTTTGGGGTAAGTAACTTATGGTGGACAGTTGAATTTATACTCATTTTTAATTACAGATAAATACAAACAGCTATTAATAATGATATACTGTATAGCTGTAATACCTCTCTCTATACATTTCCTTCAGTAACTATGTTTCATAGTCTATAATCATTATCTTTTGTCCACAATGATGCAAAGATGTATAATAAGCAGCCAATTCACCATGACAGAGTTCTTTCTGATGGGATGTTCTGATTAGTGTGCAAATTCTGCATTTTGTCATTTTTTTTTCTTCACTTACTTCATAACTGCAATTATACGAACACACACACACACACACACACATCCTTCACTTTTTTGTAGAGGCAAACTGATGTCAAATAATACTTTTAAAAATATTTTAACATAATCTGAACAGTAGATCATTTTAAATCTTGTACATAGATATTGGGTCCCACATTCCCCCTCACTCATTGTTGCTATTCATCAACATCCTGATATTGCAGAATGCATTTTCTTTTCTTCAGAATTCTTAGGGGACAACTGGGGATTTCTGTGTTACTGAATCTTACATTATAGTAAAGAAGTCCCTGTTTATAGGAATGAAAAGGCATGTTTCATCCCAAAATTTACTAATTGTGTCCATTTAACTTTTGATGTAAATCATTTTGATGAAGATGTTTAACTATGTTGTGGCAGGAAATTGATATGAGTAATTAATTTACTTGCAGGGGCAAGACAAAATTTACCCAGTCCTAGAGATTGCTGGCACCTGGATGATGCTCCCTGAGTTACTGCCAGTTTAACATCTATTCTTGGATTTTATTTATTTTCTATTTATTCAGGACCTTTTATATTGTATTTTTATATCATTTTAACTGCTTTGTAAACTGCCCAGAGTCATTTTTAACAAGAAGGATTGTGATAAATTTGATAGATAGATAGATAGATAGATAGATAGATAGATAGATAGATAGATAGATAGATAGATCTGTATTCCTTTGCTCTCCTAATCTCCAATCATAATCTGTTTTTGTACAGAAAGATTGAAAGAGCTGGAATGGCCAACCAATCCACTGTGATGGAATTTCTTCTGATGGGATTTTCTGATGACCACAATGTACAACTCCTACATTTTGTCATGTTTCTATTCACTTACTTAGTAGCATTTACTGGCAATGTACTCATAATTTTTGTTGTGATCCTAAACCACCACCTTCACACCCCCATGTATTTCTTTTTGGTCAACCTATCCCTGACTGATATTTGTTACATCACAACCACTGTCCCCAAATCAATGGCAGTTTCTCTGACAAATAACAAAATGATTACTTTTCCTGGATGTGTTGCTCAAGTTTTCTTAGTCATTACTAGTGTATGTTCTGAACTTTCCTTGCTTACCATCATGGCTTATGACCGGTATCAACCTATCCCTGACTGATATTTGTTACATCACAACCACTGTCCCCAAATCAATGGCAGTTTCTCTGACAAATAACAAAATGATTACTTTTCCTGGATGTGTTGCTCAAGTTTTCTTAGTCATTACTAGTGTATGTTCTGAACTTTCCTTGCTTACCATCATGGCTTATGACCGGTATGTAGCCATCTGCCATCCCCTGCAATATAGTTTTATCCTGGATGTGTTGCTCAAGTTTTCTTAGTCATTACTAGTGTATGTTCTGAACTTTCCTTGCTTACCATCATGGCTTATGACCGGTATGTAGCCATCTGCCATCCCCTGCAATATAGTTTTATCCTGAACTGGGATACCTGCAATCAAATGGCAGTTACTTCCTGGGTTAGTTGTCTGCTATATACATCTCTACAAACGGTCATGACTTTCCAATTAAACTTCTGTGGGCCAAACACAATTGGGCAGTTTTTCTGTAATATTCCTCAGTTACTAAAGATTTCCTGCACAGATACAAAAGT